GGGAAGGGGGGGTACAGGGTATATAAAATCATGTTCGCTCTGGGACAGGGTATATGAAATCATGCTCTCTCCTCTTTTCACAAAACAGGAACTGGGTATGGTTTTCAGCCATCTTCTTCTGGAACAGGGTATGAATTTCAGTGATTTTACTCTGGAACAGGGTCAGGGTTCAGAGGGTTCAGAGGGCTCAGCGGCACATCCCTACCCTTAACGGGCAAGAGTACCCATCCAGGGGAAATATGATCCCCTTCCATTTTAAAAAAAGAATTAAAAGAGGATTTTAATTAAATTCTGATAATTAATATTAATCTGTTAACTAATCATGCAATAATATCAGTCAGTGTTTTGTTGTTAGTGATTTTCTACCAATGGGTTACAGTCATTTACATTTGCTATACCACATTGGCAACAGTGCTGTAATAGTATTTTTAAATTTGTCAACCTTAAATTAATATGTATTGAAATTATTTCAATGCCTTTGACTTGAGATTTTTAAAAAAATCTCAAAGTTTTGTTAAAAATCTCAAAGATTTTTTTTTAAATCTCAAAGATTTTTTTAAAAATCTCGAATCAAAGGCATTGAAATACTTTCAATACATATCAATTTAAGGTTGACAAACACCCTACTGTTACCATGGCAACAGATGCTCTAAACAGTTTCTTTGCACCTGTGTTCAGGTATTGTAGGTACAAGAACATCAACAATGGGTCAAACCAAACCACTATATCATTCACTGTTAAGTRTTTAATTGCAAATTATTTGAAGAAATAATCTTTCCAATAATTAGTAAACAGAACTGTCTATCAAATATTTCAAAGTTTGTGTTTGTTCTTCTTTGAGCATATCATTTATCATATGACCCATACGATCCTGCTCATGAGTGCTAACAAACCTTCGGAAAAAGTTGTGTGAAGGGGGCTGGACGGGTTGGCATAAGTGGGCCCGAAAAACGTGTCTGGCCCTCCTTGGTTTAYGCCCACTGTATTAATCAATTTTAGCAGGATTTTTCAGCCTTTTTTACAACAAAAATTGGGTCATTTGATAAAATGCTTATTGACTGAGTTAGGTCAAGCCAAATGAAAAAATATTTGGCTCTTGGTCATAATTTGTACAGACTTTGTTGCACTCACTCTAACAAGCCAATATATTTTCCCATCCGGCCCTCCCAATAAGTCAATAAGCTAATATTTTTAGGAAAATATGCTTGATGGAACACAAACATGAACTTAAAATACATTCCAAGTAGCATTAAGTCAAATATTAATATATTTGCCAACAGATTATATAAATACCTATAAGCGACACTATTCTTGGGGTTCATCGTTACATCATAATTACCATGCACTCCAAGAATAGATGTTTTGCACCACTACATGTCGGTATCCATGTTGAATGGCAGCAACCATACAATCATTTTCCATAACAAAGAATTCAATTCCCAAGGCCAAAGGGATTTTATTGTTCTGCCATCCAACCACAGGCAGCCCAAGCTGTACTATGGGCGTGGACATGTGATTGTGCAAAACCTCTATATCAGTCTAATCTAGCACAACAATAGGCCTTTCCTTTCCCTAGCTGACAGAGTCAACCTTCCCTATGGTGGTGGGGTGGGGTGATAATCTAAAGAAATTTCCATACCTCTCCATGGACTGGAATTTCCAAGAAGTGGGGGGGTACTTCCTAGAACACAACTGCTGAAATTCTTAAATGTACTATAGCAGTAATCTTCCTCATTGCTAAAAGTATGGATATTTTATGTACTAACCTAGTTGTTATCAGCCACCCGATACCATGGTTTAATTTTATCAGTACACAAACTTGGTATATTTCACATAATCAGTAAATTTGTCAATTCCAACATCAACTGTAACCATTGGCCACGTAAGTGCAGGAAAGTAATGGAACATTCTTCGTTTGAGAGTAGGTTTTATAAAGGTAAAAAATTTTCATGCCGCAGTATTATAATAGGATATTGGCAAATTCTACTTCACCTAATGTTGGCTTATCTCAATGTTCCAACATCATAATAATACAGATTGCTGGCATTCATTTTTCACATTTATTGAAAACCTACTTTAGAAACAGAACTGCTAGATGTATGTCATGGTCTACAACATATGGGTCATTTAACCAATTTTGCCAAACCTTGGTCAGCTGTGCGAGAGTTCATTAATCTTGAAGATAAAGCTTATTTGTATGTCTCCATACTCTCTTGGTATTATATATACTTCCGACCTCATTTATTACTGCATAATTGATCTTGTAACCAGCTAAAAAGGCTGCCATTTGCCAAGAATAGTGTCCTTGATAGCATTAACATACTGTGCTGGTACCCAATAAATCCAATATCTTGATGCCTCTGTGGGCCCCAGCTGAATTGCCTGTAAAAAGATGAGACATGTTTGATTGGGCTGCCTGTGATTGGGTGGCCACAGGGAGCCCACAGGCATTTACTCACCAAGATGTGAWATTCTTCATGACCTTCTATTGGCTCTGATATAACATTCTTTATTGATCCCATTGGTATTTTTTCTGTTCGTTCTAAAAATAAATGACAAAAATTGAATTTATTATAAATGAGCTAAAGGAAAAAGGATAGAGATGGATGATTAGATGAATGAGAAGTTATGGATAAGAGAGATCGATAAATGGATAAATGGATGGATGGATAAATGGATGGGTAGATGAATAAATGAGGGGATGGATGGATGGATGAGAAGGAATGGATGAATGGATGGATGGATGAGAAGGGATGGATAAGAGAGATAGATAAATGGATGGATGGATGGATGGATAGATGGATGGATGGATGGATGAGAAGGAATGGATGGATGGGTGAGAAACAATGGATGGAGAAATGAGAATGGATAGTTGTATGAGAGAGAATGAATGTATGAATAAGAATGGATAGGCAGATGGATGAGAATGGATGGATGAGAATGGATRGATGAGAATGGATCAATGAATGCAATCTAACCTTTTGTTCCAAGCCACAGCTGATCCAGTTCTAATTTGAATGTTAATCTAACTTTACTACCATACTTATTATACATGCCAGACAAAGGTACATTGGGTAAACTTTCCTGAAACAAAAAATACGTATCATATCCAGATAAAAAGTTGTTTTTGTGTGTGTGTAATCAAATGGCATCCAACATAGTTTGCACAAAACACRCGGCTTTTAAGAGGTTTCCACATTAAATAGAATAATGATAAATGAGTCAATAGCCTATTTGGACTCAAGGACAAGTTGCTAATTTATCACTTACTTTTCTATTTTTAATACCAGGGATTACATCATCTGGTTTCCCCTTGTCTAACACCTTTTTATGCATCTGCAAAGACAAAAATACAAAAACCATGACTGTTTGACTTACTTATTTTCACCATGTGCAGTATCATACATTAATATGTAGTTCCAGAAATAACTATTATCCATACCCTGTCACCACAAGCTACCTTAATTTARAAAATCTTTCAAGTTTTTTCAATACATTGAAAATGTTACAATGTCTGGACTGATCTAAATCATGGCCTTGATAGTTTAAAGAGCAAATTTGAATTGATCAAGTTGGCTGGGTTTCGTGGGTAGGAAACTAGAAGCTGGAGAAAAACYYTCMAATSAAGGGAGAGACCTGCTCATTTAATGCTGATAGAGTCAAGGAGTCACACCCAAGACCCAARAGGTGAGTGTACTAATCCACCTTTGGTTCACCTTCTGGGACATCAATCCAAGGGTTTCCATCACATTTCAATGGAACTTTACCATCGAAGTTGGTGTTGTCTAATATGTATTTACCTTTTGCTTGCATATTGGCTCCTTTGGAGTTGCTGTTGGAAAAGAAKATGAGATTCTGAATTTTCAAATCAAAAATTCCTTCGTAAGTTGGGGTTTCTTTAATGTGTCTATCATTCCACCTGCCATAGGGATGGACTTACTGTCTGAAAGCTCAAAAAAAAAGTAAACTTGTGCAGTTGAAACAGTGTTTTATTCACCTAGTCCCATGCCCGGGGGGGTACTACCCCCCCAACTTGGGTAGGGGTGTGCTGCCAGGACCTCAAAACCCTGACCCTATCCCAGACCTAAAATTTCAATTTTACATACCCTACCCCAGACTAAAACTACGAATTGTACACCCTATCCCAGACTAATAGAGGGAAAAGACGGCTATTCAATAGATTGCAATCAATATTTATTAACGTTTTTATTGTTTTTGTGCCATCAGAAAGCGTAGCCTATGCCAGACAAAAACAACCAAATCGTTAACCCTATCCCAGACAAAAATGATACCCTATCCCAGACAAAATGTCCAAAAATGATACCCTATCCCAGACCCAAAAGCCGAAAAACCATACCCTATAGGGCAGCACATACCCGTATAGCAAATATAGGGGAGTACCCCCCGGGGTCCCATGGGACTCCTGCTTGAGAATTTGAGTGGTAAACCTTCTGGCAGAGCTCTCCAAAGAACCAAAACAGATAGGTCAAGGAGAACAGCCACAGGTCAGGGGGAGTAAAGCAAGACAGTATTAACATATTAGAAGTGCACTGGATCAATATACGACCTTAATTCCAGGTTTGAATCAAAGTAATATGCTAATCAGCCGCCTCTTTTGCAGCTGTTGTTTGTGACTTCATCATACATGTACACTAGTGAGGCAGTGATCAAAATTCTTATAGTAAGCTTATTAATTTGTTGCAACTGTGAATTTACCCTGCGAGCAGAGTCACCTTTGAACTCCTCTTCGGACGAGAGAAGTCCTTCTCTCGTCTGAAGAGGAGTTCAAAGGAGACTCTGCTCGCAGGGTACTGTGAATGTGGACTACCATTCATTCAAGGTGAGGATTCTCTTTAAGCTTGGGATAAGAAACTGTGATGTAACTCAATACACTTCTGTCTCAACTTACTACAGTTTTGCTTGCACCTTCAGT